TGTTTAATCTCTCTAAAGAAAAATAGAGTCAGAATCACCTCAATCCTTGAATAAATTGTGCCTTTATTTCTCTAGGTACACATGCACATATGTGTGTATTTATTCCTACTTTATCTCAGGCTAGTTAAATCTATCTAGTTGGTGGCTAGATGAGAAAATGCCTGCCTCCAAAATGAATTTCATTCCCTTCCTCTTCATTTCTGTGTACTATGTATTTAAAATTTATAACCTTGCCACATCCAAAAAATATTTGGAATTACTCTTTTCTTTAATAACATATTAAATGCCTCCTGTTTTGCTAACCTTCTCTTGGATGTAATCTTGCCTCCTCAGAAGCTCACCAACAATGTGCTGTAGTTATTGTATGCTTCTTCCTGTGTTCATCTTTTCTTCCCGCCATTGCTCTGCTCTGGTCCTTCCCCAGGCATTAGATTGTCCCTTCCATGCAAAGGTCGAGGGGGTGATTGGACTTACTTGTATAGCACAGGACCAGAGAAGTCAATAATTTTCTCAAGGTGGTGGTTCAACAAATGTTTCAGTTGAAATAGGGAATATCTTTGTTTATATACTACAAAATAAAAATCGTGTCTGAGTTAATGATTTTTTCCAGATACATTTGTTTTTGAGTGTCTTCAAACCATTGGTGAAAAAAAAAAAAAAAAAAAAAACACCAAACCATTGATATAGCCAAACTAACATGTTTTTATTTTCCATCACTGCTGAATTAAGATCCAAATGCTCTAGAAGTAAAAATAAATTTTATTTTTAAATGCATCATAATAAATGAAAGGGTGAGGCTGATGGTTGCCTCGTTTGGTCAGGAGGCCTGGTTTGGCATGCCTGCTGCTAGAATCGTGACAGGGTAGAGTTGGCAGCAGTCAAGTTCAGACCAGTGTGTTCCCGGAACCCCCAGAGTTTCACTGCGATAACTTTTGGGTCCTGAATGGGAGATGGGACAACCCTGTTCTCCAATTGACACAAAGACACTCTGTTTTTAGTTGTTTTATGGTTGAGTTCTGGAATAGATTTAAATTGTTTGTTTTTTTTCACTTGACAATTTGCTAAACACATTTGACTGCTTTAAAGACATTTTTGGAAGTTAACCAAGCTCTCATCATGCCCCAATCTTGTCTGATTCTTCATTTGACAGGCCAGAACTGTAATGTGATTATCTAAGATCATGTGTTCAGGAGAGCCCAACTGGGGCCCGAACCCAGTCTCTAGTTTCCTAACTCCTGGCCCAGAATCCTTTCCTCTTAACTGCTGTTCCTCAGCAATTCCTCCACATTATAGGTGTTTCTTGAGGGATCCGGAAATGCGGAGGGAACCCTGTGCCAGGACCTGGGGATAAAAAAGAGGGGTGAGACATGATACAAGTATCTACCACCTTTTCCTCAGTTTCTCCTTTTTTGGTGCTTTCCAAATAATTCTGTGTCTAAAGTCTCACTCATAGGTTCTATAACAGCGTAGCTGGGTCACGGTACTGTTCTAAAACTGGTTTATTGTCATGGGCACACAACAGTATAAATTTATTAAAATTCATCAAGCTGAATGCTTCAAGTGACTGCATTTTATGGTATATAAATTTTATTTCTTTAAAGCTGTTTTTTTTTTTTTTTTTAATGGCACCTGCCTTTCCTAGCCTAAAGGGAAATTGTGAGCCTACATCAAAATGGTCCTGTGAAACATTTTAAAGGCATAATATAGTACAGTTGACCCTTGAGCAGCACAGGTTTGAGTGCGTGGGCCCACTTATATGTGCAGAGATGAATTGCTCACTCAGAGATGATTAGCATCACACAGGTTTTGAGCAGATACTTGCAACACTTGAGCTCACTGCAAAAACAGAAAGAAAAAAAAATCTACGTAGCTCAAACCTGTATTGTTCAAGGGCCAACTGTACTTTCTTGTTCCTGTTTTCTCACTATGATGGTTATAAGTCAATTCAGCAGAGATGCGTTCTCTACTATATGCCAGGTCCTGATGTATCAAAAGACTAGTTGGGAGCGGCAAGGAATGACAAAGATGTATAGGAAGTAGCTGTTTTATTTTGTTTATTTTGTCAGACTCTAAAGTTTTTCAACGTGATAACTGGAAGTTTCTCCTATCTTCTGCTGAGTTCCTTTATATCAGAATGACTTCTGCTTTGAGTAATGAATACCTGGACCACACAACAATAGTGTTAGGGAGTCATAACTGGGGGGCCATAGGCAGGCCTTCTGAAGTAGAACAATTCTCCAGACAGCTCAGCATTGTCAGGGCCCAGTGTCCATTCCTCTGTGGTTCTCTTGGCAGTGTTCTCAGGATTGAAATATGGCTGTGGCAGCCCCAGACCTTATACTGTCTTCCAACAATGCTAAACACAGTAAGGCAGGAGCAACTGTTTTCTTCAGGCTTCTCTTTTTAGCAAGGAAAAAAAATCTAACTCCCTCTCCAACAGATTTCTCCTCACATCTAATTGGCTAAAAGTAGACCACACACTCACCCCTAAACCAATCACTAAAACAATGGGAGTGAGAATAACATTATTTGTATAGACATATTTTACTCATCCTTCATGCTGTAGGGAGGGTTCTCCATTCCTGAAAATCCTACCAGAACAAATGAAAATTCTGTGAACGTGGAGACTGGCAGGGCCTGGCTCCTGAGTAGTCAGCTAACAGTGTCTACCACACTTAATTGACTTCCCCACCCCCAACTGAAATGACTGAGAAACATGACCTGCTTCTTCGTTTTTTGTTGACCACGGGTGTCTGATCTTTTTTGCAGAATGTCTCCATGGTTTCCATCCAAAAAATTATTCTTAAAGCCAGGACTCTACAGGGTGGCTCTTCAATGGTAACTGTATTTGTTACAGTGTTGTAAAGCTTTGAGGTTGGGTAGTCATACTTCACCAGCACAGTCAGTAGGAAAATTGGTAAGGAGCTATCATTATCCAATTTAAAGATGCTTAGCTTTTTCCCTCTTTAGAACATTTGACTGATTCAGAATTTGGGAGGTTTGCTATTACTAATGGAAGAGAGATAGGATCTAGGATGTTGGTAGGCTTAGAAATATTTGGTAGGTATTTGAGTACTGATGGAACCCTGATGGTGGCATAGTTAAAGCTCTTGGCTACTAACTGAAAGGTCAATAGTTGAAACCTACCAGCCACTTGATAGGAGAGAGATGTGGCAGTCTGTTTCTGTAAAGATTCACAGCCTTGGAAACCCTTTGGGGCAGTTCTCCTCTGTCCTTACAGGGTCAACTGTGAGTAGAGATCACTTCAGTGGCAATGAGTTTGGTTTGTTTGAGGTTGATATTGGTGGGATTTTAACACAGGTTTATGAGCAAAAATTACCAGGGTACAGAGTACATATGATAAAACCTGTTTTCCAACATTACAGCAGGTAGTGTAACTGACAGCTTCTAGCCATTGGACAAAACCCCAAAACATTCACAATGAATCAGAATCAGGCTCTCTCTCTCTCTCTCTCTCTCTGCCTCTCAGATATCTCAACCCTTAATATAGTATATCTGTGTGTTACGGATATTACAGTTGACTTTATATATCACTTTCTTGGATTGATAGGACATTAACTATAATTAACACATTTCAGTGATACAAACTGTACTAGGGACAATATATAGCTCTTGGTTATGATCTGTCTCTAGGAACTGGCCTAATCCTTGGGAAATATCTAAAGCCATCCAAAGCAATTAGTATTGTTGACACTGATGCAGAATAATAAATGCCTGTTCCCTTAGATACTAATTCTTTTGTATTTTCCTTCCACCTTCTGTCTTGAGTCATCACATCCTAGTAATCCAAGTCTTAACTTCCCAACTACTTTACTAATATATTCACACAAATGTTTTCACTGTTATCTTAACTGGTACTTAAGTGTAGTTAGAGAAGATTGAGCAGTTGCATCCCCAGATAGACTTTGCTGTTGTTGTTAAGTGCTATCAATTTGGTTCTGACTTACAGCGACCCTGTATATGGTTTCTGAGGAGCAGCTGGTAGGTTTGAAGTGCCGACCTTGTGGTTCACAGCCCAGTGTTGATCCTACAGTACCACACCAGGATCTAAAACTTTAAAAGGATATAATTCAGACATATTTCAATTGCTTTTGAGTAGCTCAGTATTTGTTCTTTGAAAAAGGCTGATTCATCTGCTTGCTGATAAATAAATAGCTCCATCTATGAATAGGTAGGTATCAACGTGGAGACCATGAGACATATCTTAATAAGTTCACTCCTCTTGCCAACATACACGTGTGTGTGTGTGTGCAGAACATTTGAGCAATATTTGTTGATAAGTGCAAATTTACATGCATGTGTTCATATACAAACACATCAGTATCTGCCTCTAAAGACATGCCGTAATTGGATCATTTTTAATTGTTTTGTAAACCATACCTCCTTTGTAACATAGCATATTGTTGTTGTTGTTGTTAAGTGCCGTCGAGTTGGTTCCGACCCATAGCAACCCTGTACAGGGTTTCCGAGGCTGTAAATCTTTACGGGAGCAGATAGCCTCATCTTTCACCCGCGGAACAGCTGGTAGTTTTGAACTGCTGACCTTGTGGATTGCAGTCTGATTCATAACCACTACACTACCAGAGTTCCTTAACATAGCATATACAGCAGAAAATTTGAAATTTTACTCTTCAAAGATTATGTCTGCTTATACATGTACCCAAATAATACAGTGTTACATGTCTGTGTTCTTGAGACAAAGGAAACCTTTTTGCTCCTCTGCCAGAGAGAAATTAAGCAGTCAGTAGCATTTAACAACATCACATGATTTGTGAGGGATAAAAAAATGAAAAGAGCACACATGCATAATCTAAAAATGAGCCATCTTGTTTTTTGCATATGATCCTCTTTTTGCGCAGTGGTACTAGCCTACCTGTTCAGCGTGCTTTTTCCTGAAGTTAGTGGGCTAAAGGACAGCCTCTTTTGGGTCACCTCATTGGCTAAAGCATTTTAAAGGTTGTGTTTTCTTTTTCTTACAGCCAAGGATTACTGCAAAGTAATATTTCCATATGAGGCACAGAATGACGATGAATTGACAATCAAAGAAGGCGATATAGTCACTCTCATCAATAAGGTAAACAAAGGTTATATCCTGCCATGTAAGCTCTGAAACTCTTGAGGGTGTTGATTGTAGAGGGCACTTGGTTTCCATGGATCTACTGTGAGCACCTTTCCTAGTGCTCAGGCAAAGCCCGGTGAATTCAGGTGAATGGACTCACTGAGAAGTGAATAGACTATTTGCTTGGGCCAGTCACAGATTTGTGTGGCCTTGCAGAAAATATCAGCCCAGGAGAGATAACCCTGACCCTGGTCTTCTTAGATGGAGCCCTATCCTCCACAGCAGTCCTGCTGCAAAGCTTTGTGTCATCAGTGTCTGCGGAGGGGCTTTGAAAAAGCAGGTCATGCCTCACAGGCCAAACACACTTTGTGAATGTTTGCTGTTCAGATCAAAGGCAGGTGACATCTTGAGAGAATGTCTCCTTTCTTGTTTGGGCTAAAGAGGGTCAGATGGTTTCATTATCATTCCAGGCAGAGCCCTGTAAACATGGAGAGCTATAAAATCAGTGCAAAGGGATGCCATTTAATAGGGCTTTGACTGTGTGATGTTTTTGCTTTCATGCAGTGGTGCTCACCAAGTAAATGGTGAGGAGATGTATTATTGGCATAATTTCTGGAATACATGGCCTTTTCTCTGTGAAGTATAGGGTTGTTATGATGGTCGAGTAGGATAAAAACCTGAACAGTCTTTAAGGAGTGTCAGGTGGTTTTATTCTTGTACCCAGGTGAGCAGCAGGACCCCTAATTCCCTTAGCACAGGTGTGACTTGGGGATCACCATGGCTGCCTGTGTGCATGCAGGGCCTTGACAGGGTGGGGGATATAGTGAAAGGGGAGAGGACAGGGGGTTATGGTCAGGGGAAGCCTAGGGGCCCACTGCCTCTGGCCATTACTGCGAAAGAAGGGGTCAGAGTGTTGTCACACTCCCACCCAGGGCTTTTATAATCAAGCATGGTTACTCCTCAAAAGGGCTTCAGAGGTTCCGTATTTTAAACACCTTTATCCAAAGATTCCAGGGAATTAATGATGAAAAATGGGTCAGTAACTTGCCCAAGGTCAAGGACTCTTGAGTGAAAGTTCTCATCCTGTCCTCATGGGAAGGGCTCTGCCTTTCTGAATAACAAGTGATCCCCTGCTCCACGGATCACTCCAGAACTCAGCCATCTTTGTACCTTTGTTGCTATTGTTGTTAAGTGCCATCGAGTTAGTTCTGACTAATAGCAACTCTATATAGGGTTTCTGAGGAGTGGCTGGTAAGTTTGAACCGCTGACCTTGCTGTTCAAACCAACCTTGCAATCCAGGACATTAACCCACAGGACTCTTAAAGACATATCATGGTTATTAGAGTGCCAGAAAGTCAGTTCTGACTTATAGTGACCCTGTATAGGGTTTCTGAGGAGCGGCAGTGGGTTTGAACTGCAGACCTTATAGTTAGCAGTCCAGTGCTTATCCTACAGTGCTACACCAGGTCTTCCTTAAATTACTTCAGTATATCATAGGTGTGGAATGTGGCAGGGAAGATCAGCAAAGGGGAAAGATACATCCCTTGGTCCTTTCTGCAAATGAGGCAGGTGCAGGTCCCTCACCCTCAGGCAACTTGGTAGTTTAGTGGGTTATGCATTGAGCTGCTAACTGCAAAGTCAGCAGTTCAAACCCACTAGTCACTCCACTCCATGGGAGAAGGATGAGATTGTGTATTCCTATAGAGATGTACTGCCTCTGACCTCCTAGGGAGCAGTGTAGGATCACTAGGAGTGGGAATCGAGTCAACAGCAGTGGGTTTGATTTGACTGTGGTTTCCCCTCACCATCCTGTGGAGCCTCACTTTCTTACACACAATGCATTGTTTATTTATTTTATTTTTAGATATAATTGATAATTTATTTTTTGTTGTTGCACACTTCTGTGAGGTAGATAAATGACACATTCCAGCTGAATTTCAAGATTAACAACCGACTAAAGATCACTTGTATATTATATATTTCACCAGACTGTTGTTGTTATTACTAAGTAATGTCAAGTCAGTTCCGACCCATAGCGGCCCTGTATAGGGTTTCCAAGGAGTGGCTGGTGAGCTTGAACAACCGACCTTGCGGTTCAAACTGGCTTTGCAGTCCAGCGCATTAACCCACAGCGCCACACCAGGACTCCTTCACTAGAATTGTCATTTCAAAATCTGGATTAAGAATCATCTGGAATCCATAATGAATCAATCAACTGATATTTATTAACTGGTCAATTATGGATTGCATTGTTTATTTTGAACCATACCTTTAGACAAACAAATGCAATAAGGAAGTGGCTAAATGGGCAAGAAGCATGATACGACTACTTCAATAATTACCATGGATGTTTGGGTTGTGTATAATAGGTAAGGGGCAGCTCCCTTTCCTATGATGATGAAGCACTCAGAGAATTCACTAACTGCTGTTCTTTGTAACAGAGGAGAGGGTCTATTTTCCTGGGGTTGGTTTTGTTTGGCGGCAGAGGAGGCAACCTCTTTTAAACTGAAAACCGTTGTACCAGTGTACCAGGTGTACAGTAATATTTAGTAAGATTTGGGGGAAAGGAAAATAAAGCACCATGTTCTTACCTAAGTACTCTATTTCAAGCTTCAGACCTTCTACTCCAGTCCTCTCGCTTACAAATACATATCATGATGAGAGCATATGCATCTTCATTATATTGCCCCTCCAACCCTGGCAGAGGTAGAGTCTGATAAGAATAATCTGATTTCTATCAAGATTGGCTCAAGCAGGAACTCTCTGTTAGTCTGATGCCCACAGGAGTAAGAGTGAGCAGGCTAAAAGGCTGCTCTCAAGAGTTATCCCATGGTGATGTCACATTTTTCTTGTTTAATCGATCTGATATTTAAAAGTAGTTTAGAAACGTAATGGAGCCAACAAATATTAATACTGCATTTCTAAAACATGAACAGATTGTCTTCCCTATACATCTGGTTCCTTGATCAGCTTATACACGAATTCCTGCACTGGGACCTAAAATTTCCATAATATTTTGCCACTTGGTCTTCCAGATTGCACCCAAGCCAAGCAGCCCTACAGCCCTTAGACACTTTTTTCCTAAGTCCTCTTCCTAGCTTCTGTTGGCACGGCCCCTCCTTCATGTCCCATTCCAGTACTTTGCTCAGTAACTCCTCTGCTCCAAGAACTGTCTCTAGTAACATCCCTTTCCTTTATTGTAAAACCCAGGTACACTCTCCAGGCATACACATTGCTGAACAGTCTGGCTTCATTCTGTCTGCCTGTCCTTGACCCACGTGACTATTCACATGCATCTTCTCGGTACTGCCTGAGAAGATACGTTACTCAACCTCTCTGAATCCAAGTTTTCTCTGCCACAGAATAAGGGCCCTGACGCCAACCTCACAAGCTGCCGTGAAGATGTACTAACACACTATGTATGAAGCACTGCTCACAGGGAGTGGGGGCCACCAGTGGTACCTAGACCCAAGAATGGTCACTTCCACTTTGACTGATGGTTCTCATACTTCAGCTTCCTGGAAGTTGGAGGGCTCTTGTGACTGGGCCTAGTTTGCTGCTGAGGTTGGATGTCATGTTATCAAGTAGGTAAATATGGTAACACATCTCCAGACATAGTTAAGAATTCATAGCAGGCAAGGTTTTATGAAGAAGTTGGAAAGAGATCTTATCGTATATTTTCTGCTGAGAGTGGGAGAAGTGCAGCCTGAGTCTGTACAACTCTGCTGACATTAGAGGGAAACAGGGAGGAATTGCCCAGAAGTTCACATAGATTCAGGTGAGTTGTTGCTATTGTAAAATGAATTTCACCATGACTTGTTGCATGTGCATTTCCATACGTATGAGTGGAAGTGATAGGCCTGAATTGCTGTTTTCTAAATTCAGTTGTTTTTGCTGTAAAGTGTTCTCAATGGACCCCAAATTCTACCTCATGTTTTCCTTTATTGGTTAGTTAAAGCGGTTTCCCCACTAAGACAGGAGTCACAGGACAGGCATTGCACTAGTGTGTAATCCTGGGTTGTCAGTTCATGTAGCTTTCTAGAAAAGGAATCAGACGCCTTTAGTGGGTGCCTATAAACCCTGCACAGCTCTGTGCAAACACCTGAACGATTTGTGTGTATCCCTGGAAACTAGGATTAAATTTGGCAGCTCAAATGATGGTATTTTAGTTTATTTATAAAGAATCCTTGTGGATTTGGAAAAATTTCCACTCGTTCTGAATACACCTGTGTTTAGCATTTTTTCTCCAGTCACTCAGAAATAGCTCCCTCTCCTGAGTTCCTGCCACTCCTATCCCAGACTTCTTGATTTGTGGCCAGAGCAAGTTTGAAAAGGTTCAGAAGCCTGAGTTCTGTTTTCCAACCCAAGATGCTCCCTAGAGAGGCCACAGAGTCATCGGTGGCCAGAGTGGCTGCTCTTAGGGACTGTGGCTTGCCTTGGGCCCGGCTTCTTGGGGCAGAAGCAGTACAGCTGTGGAGAGGAACAGTGTTCCCACTCTCGGCCTTTGAGACTGGGAGGAAGTATTCCTGAGATGACCCCTTAGTCGACAAGGATCTTTAGGTGTTTGCAATAAAAAAGGCTTCCCTGAGGCAGCTGTGTCTTGCTGTAAGCATATTAATAAACAAAGATAAGCACTGAAAGAGAAACTATTATTGACTGCATTCGTGTATTGGTAGAGATAGAGTGAAGGAAAAGAAGGCAGTACAAGCCAACATTGATGTTCATGGGAAGAAACCAGTAAGTGCAACCTAGAGAAAGAGGAAGCCTATAACATTATATAATGGTTGTTGTTAAGTGCTGTTGAGTTAGTTCTGACTCATAGTGACCCTGTATAAGGTTTCCAAGAAGCGGCTGGTGAGTTTGAACCACCGACCTTGTGGTCCTGTGCTTTATCCCACAGTGCCACACCAGGACTCCTATGTAATGATGACCACTAGGAACTAAAACAAAAATGAGTTTTGCCTTTTCCTAGGAAAGTATCAAGCTGTGACCCAAATATTTGGAGCTACAGATG